GAACATATAATATACAACAGGACTATAAATCAAAACATATAATAAATATACAATAATGTAGAAGAAAAATTATCTCTTCCTAAGATTTAAGGTAAGATCAAGTCTCTAAAAATAGATATGGAAAGAAAAATATGTGCTGATATCCCCAATGCTTTTTGAGAAAGAAAACAACATATAGTTGAACTTCCCTATGAACCAGATTTTCGAGAGGGAAGAATTCCTACTAAAGCAAGACCTATTCAAATGAACAATAGGCCACTCGAAATCTGTAAAAAAGAAATAAAAGAATTATTGGACAAAAGGTTTATCAAAAAAAGCTCATCACCCTGGAGCTATTCAGCCTTTTATGTAAAAAAGGCCCCAAAGATAGAAAGAGGGGCTCCGAGACTGGTTATAAATTATAAACCCCAACAAAGTTTTAAGGTGGATCAGATATCCAATCCCAAACAAAAGAGATCTCTTAGATAGACTGGCAAATGCCTGCATATTTTCAAAATTTGATTTTAAATTAGGCTACTGGCAAATCCAGATTGTCGAAAAAGATAAATATAAAACTGCTTTTAATGTTCCATTTGGACAATTTGAATAGAACTTATGCCTTTCGGATTAAAAAATGCACCATCCGAATTTCAAAATAGCATGAATGAAATCTTCAATCCTTATACCAAGTTCATGATTGTTTATATTGATGACGTACTTGTCTTGTCAGAATCAATTGATCAACATTGGAAACATTTAAGTACATTTGTAAAAGCAATAAAAAATGCTGGCTTAGTAGTTCCGCAAGAAAAATAAATTTATGCCAAACAAAAATAAGGCTTCTAGGACACAATATTTTCTAGGGAAGAATCACTCCCATTGATAGAGCAATAGAATTCGCATCTAAATTCCCAAATGTGATCACAGGAAAAACTGAATTACAAAGATTTCTTGGTTGCTTAAATTATATTTCTGACTTCTATAAAGATTTGGCCATAGATGCAAAACCTTTATTACAAAGATTGAAAAGCATCCTCTAGAATGGACTGAAGAGCATACTAAGGCAGTCAAAAAAATTTAAATAAAAGCCAAGGAATTGCCATGTTTAGCCCTATCGAGTCCTACAGCGTTTAAAATAGTAGAGACAGACGCCTCAGAACAAGAACTCGGTGCTTAAAACTAAAAATGAATAATCAAGAGCAATTGGTTCGGTTTACCTCTAAAGCCTGGAACCCAGCTCAACAAAATTATTCAACAATGAAAAAAGAGGTACCGGCTATTATCCATATTGTCACAAAATTTCAAAGTGACCTGCTTAATCAATCATTTTTTATAAGAACTGACTGTAAAGCAGCCAAGGACATCCTTCAAAAAGACGTAACAAATCTCGTTTCAAAGCAATTTTTTGCAAGATAGCAAGGTATTATCTCTGCCTTTGAATTCACTATTGAACACATTAATGGTAACACCAATTATTTGTCTGGCTTTTTGACACGATAATTTTTGCAGGGAGGGCAGAAAGAGCCGACAAAAGAGGATGATGGAAATAATCCCTAGTCCAAGATCATCCCTGGCATCACCATCAACACCAAATGCTCCAATAAGAAGGCAAATACAAGATATTGATTTATCCCTTTCAAACACTAATAAGCACTCAAACTCTTAGTGCTAAAACCTTATATTTAGAAACAGCATATATTTCTTTGCTGATTATAGAAAATGATCATCAGTTTAAAAATCCAACTGAAATAGCTGCCTTATACCTCAGGCAACATATGCATCCTAATATGGGTGACAGATGTAGAGAATGGTACGAAAGTATCCTTATGGAAACAGGATCAGTTTTCATAGTTCACCATTATAGAAATAATGATACAGAAATATCATTTTCCAAATTCCAAATCAAAAAGGTTATTTTTTACAAAGAATGGGGAATGGATCCTTTAAAACCAAGGATCATCAATACGAAAGGATTGAAAATTAAATCCTATCATTACTTTGAATACATAAAGGTTTGGGATGAAGTCTTCTCATACCATAATACAAAAAATTCACATAGCTGGTATATTCAGTTCAAAATAACTAAGCCAAATGAGTTCCCAAATTGGTTTACAAATTGGTTTTCTATATGGGGATCAACGAACCAAATTCTACCAAAAGAGCTACAAATTTCATAGAGAAAATTCTCTGAATATAATAGACAAAATCTTAAAAGAGACTACCATATATATTTTATGACCTTATATCAGGTCCCATGGATTTTAAAATGGGATTTTCAAATCTCAGCAGATGATATGGACAGGTGGGATTATGTTCTCGAATTAAGAAGACAAATCCATATCAAATGGTGGGACAGTTATAAAAATGAATCCCTAAATCCAAACAAAATAAAAATAAAACTTATACCTTCAGTTCACCTCAAAAGCAAAAAATGAAAATATCTGAATATGTTGCAATATTACAGCAACAAAACCCCAACCTATCAAAAGAAGAGCTTAAAAGGAAGCTCTGGAGTGCAATCGAAGATAATGTTGAGAAAATGTCAACCTCCACTCAAAGTGACGAACAGGAAGACTTTAGTCCAATGAACGATGATGATTGCACAGGAATTGAATTTTTTTAAAAATAAAGAAAATTCACAAGGAATCAGAACAACTCCAACCTATCAAGGACACGTGTCCCAGCCACTATAGCCACTACCGACAGAGTCACTGTTGCCACTACCGACAGCCACTGTAGCCACTACCGACAAAGTCACTGTAGCCACTATCGACAGCCACTGGAGCCACTACCGACAAAGCCAATGTAGCCACTACCGACAAAACCATTGTAGCCACTACTGACAGAATCTGCTTTGCACTGTAGAAGATAAGCATCTTTAAAAGCTGTCGGTGCGGATTTCAAATAACTTTCAAATCCGTTTCATTTGGAAGGCTATAAAAGGAGGAAGGCTCCCCTCATTTGAGCATCCAGAGTTTTCCTAAGTTTGAAGTGTTCTGCTTTCTTCTCTACAGTCCTCTCTCTGCTCTCTTCTCTACAGTCCTCACTCTGCTGTATACCCAATAGTGTTCATAGCCATTCGGTTTCTTTTCTTCTCTAAAAGTGTAAAGGTCTAAAACTGGTATGTGCAACCACTTTTGGAAGGAAGTTCCTGACTACATCCCTGAGCAGCTGAAACTATTTACCAGCTTCTATATCTGTGCAATGTGAGTTCGCTTAGATTATATGTTTTGATTTATAGTCCTGTTATTGTATATTTATTATATGTTTTGATTTATAGTCCTGTTGTTTATTATATGTTCTGCTTTATGGTATCAGAGCCAAGTCTTCGTTATAGTAGTTCAACTGTATCCCTAGTAGAAAACTGAACTATTAAATAAGATTCTAAAAAATCTGCAGTAGTAGTTCAAAGTCGATGTGGCCCAAAGATCACTAAGGCCAGGAAGAACTAGAAAAGTGTAGAGATTGGATCCAGTTGACTCGAACTACAATGGCAAATTTCATTAGAACCTTATCTAACAGGTCAGCTACTATTAGTAATACATTATCTGTTAATAATAAAAAAGAAGTAATAATAGATAATATATAAAAGCAAATCCAAAATTGGAATATACCTAAGGTACCTACAACAGATGTTCATAATAAGGGAACTTTTGATTTCAAAAGTAGCTTTTCCATCACAACCATTGAAAAAAGTATTTCTGTAATGGAAACTCAGGATAAATTTCAATTGCTTTCCCCAAGGATGATTGAAGATCATAAAAGGAAAGACTACAAATATTTGCATATGGGTTTAGTACAAATAGCTGTCAAACCGTTAACAAGGACAGAATTAAATAATTCTGTTATGCTCTGTTTGAGAGACAGCAGACACAAAAAATTCACTGATTCCTTGTTAGAAATAGTTAAATCTAGTCTTTGTAATGGCCCAAACTATTTTAACTGTTTTTCAAATTTCTCGATGGCCTTAACAGACCCGAATTTCTTAAAAGTCCTTACCCTAAACCTTAAAACTCAAGGTTTTGATATGGACCCAGGTTCTCAAAATTTGGCATTTGTTTACAAAATATGTTACAAAGTGATGAATACTTTGTGTCCAAATGCTAGGCAAATGGATATAAAGGACAAACCATATTTTTCCAAACAAACATGGAAAAATCAAATTTAATTATACCAAAGTCAGTGGCATGGTCACAGGTAAAACTACCAGAGCGTTGGTCTTTATAATCTGAATCCCAGATTAAAAATCCTGAAAATAGAGACCTTGAACAAATCATAGAATACTCTGATGCAGAGATAGAAATCAGTTTTCCATCCTCCAGAAGAACTACTTTAAAGATTGGTGAATCAAGTATTAAGGATCCTCCTAGAAGCTCGACCTCTTCTGTCCCGCAATCAGAATATGAAAGAATACTCACTCAAAGGAGAACTATTATTGAAAGGCTTAATAGGACTCCAAATCAGGTTCAACAACCAGTCTATAGAGTAGACACTCCAGGTTCTTCTGAAATAGATGAACAAGAACCAACACCCTCAGATCTTGACTTTGAAGTATGTGTTATTCAAAAAGAAGAATTCAAGAATGGATCAGAAAAGATTTCTACACTGAGAAAATAGACTAATAAGAGAATAATTCTTCAAAGAATTTAAAGAGCCTCTTAAAGATGCCTCCCATTTAAATTTAACCGTCTCATGATGAAACACAAGGCAACTGTCAAATTTTTTAAATGGTTAAAATATATAGCAAAAGATTATGGAATAAAAAATCCAAAATTTGAGGCAAATAGGGTTGAAAAATCTTTTCAAACATTACAAACCACCAAAGGAGAAACAATTGAGTCTATTCAAACCCTTGAGACTAGCTTCCAACTTAAAGGAGAAAAGTTCGGGGAGAAAATTAAAATTAAAGCCTCACCTTTCAAAATAGGACCTAAAGAAAGCAACCACAATATGGCCAAGCTTGAAGGAATACCTCATATTATTGAACAGAATAATTATACAAATATTTTCCTCCAAACAATAGGAAAGCTAACTACAAGAATAGAAAATGCAGTAAATAAGTTAAACCAACTCCAGAAGCCAAAATTCTGGACAAGCAAAAAGAAGTTGTCCTATTCAAACCTCCTCCAACTTTTGAGACAGGAAAATTTAGCCTGCAAGGAATAAAGAAAAAAGATGAAAATAGTGAATTAATAAATGAATTGATTAAAAGATTAAAAAGGTTAAATATCAATGAAAAAGAGAAGGGTCAGCATTCCAAAACCAAAGAAGCAGATGTTCAAGTCCTACAAAAGGCACCTGACAAAGAAATTTCTAATATGGAGAAAGTTTTTAAAACAGAAAGCTTAGACATCAATAAAATTGATTATGGGAGAAAGGTAAGGCTAGTATCCCAAACCAGGATGTATTATCCAAGACCTACCCCAGTAGATCTACAAATAGAAGAAGATCTAATCTCTACCTCGGTCTCCTATTCAGGAAAATCCATAGTAAACTGGAACATAGATGGCATGGCTAAAAATCAGATTTTAAACCTTATGAAACACATGACCATGTATGCCACTGCCTGCAAGGCAAGTGGAAATCAAGACCATGAGAGAGCCAAAGCTATAATATGTGGATTCACAAGATGGCTAAGAGGCTGGTGGGATATTAATGGATGAAGAATCAAAAAATCAAACATTAAATGCCTCAACTCAAAACAATGGATAGTCAAAAGTGAAAATGGTCACGACAATATAGTACAAGAAGGAGATGCAGTGAATACACTGATTTATAACATCACCCTCCATTTTGTAGGAAGTACTGCTTTATTGGCAGCAAGGTCTGAAGATTTGTTATCAAATCTAAGATGTCCAACACTCTCTCATTATAAATGGTACAAGGATGTATTTTTCTCAAGATTACTATCAAGGGAAGATAGTAAGTCGGACCATTGGAAAGAAAATTTTAAAGCAGGTCTACCACACCTTTTTGCATAAAAGGTAAAAACATGGCTTAAAAATAAGCATTGTGGAATTATTCCTTATTCTTTGTATACACTAGGTGAATTATCAGCCGAGATCTGTGCTGAAGATCTAGCTTTATGTACAGACTTAAAACTTCGAAGACAATTAGAGAAACAAAGAATAACGGGAAGAAAGGAGTTTGGATATTTCTGCGAGCAGTTAGGATATATTACCCTACCCCCTTCAAAGCCTTTCACAAAAACAAACATGAAAAATTTAGAAAGAAAAAATTCAAAAATTCTTCAAAGACAAAAGAAAAATTTTCAAAGAAATTCTTACAAGATAAACCATCTTTTAAAACTAAGGGAAAAAGGAAAATCCCTGTCTGTTATAATTGTGGCAAAATAGGCCATTACAAAAATAAATGTAGAGTTAAAAGAAAAATTAACTCTCTGGAGATAGATGTTACTATTAAAACTCAATTGTTTGAAATACTCCAAATAAAAGATGAAACCTCTGATTCTTCTAATTCAGAAGATGAAATGTTAATTGGAGAAATAAATGATGAAGATATCATTATCAGCAGTTCTGATTCAGACACTGGTGATGAAGATAACCCAAAAGAAGAAAATTGCCAATGTGATGTTTACAAGGCAATCATGGATATGAACGGGTTAAGCATCAATACCCTTACAAAAGAAGAAGATCTGATTATAGACCTTATTGACAAAATATCAAATCCAAAGGCTAAAAGAGAAGCCTTAGTTCAATACATCAATATGTCAAAAACCCCATCAAGGAAAACCAAATCTTCTCTTGTCCCAACAAAAGAAGATTATAGTTTCCAAGACATTCTTAAAAGGGTGCAAAATAAAACAGAGATAGAAAAGGAACCTTCAATATCTGAGCTAAGATATGAAATCAATGAGGTTAGAAATGAGTTGATAGCTCTGAAAGCAAGGGTTCAAATCTTAGAATTAACCCAAAACCCTATCAACGAAGAAAAGAAGAAAAAATAGAGAGCGAATTTGATAATCTGGTAACTGAATATAATATTCCTTTACCACCTGAGGTTGAAGATACCCCTCCTAGACCCGAAACCTCTAAAGCCGTTATGAATGTGATAGAAAAGGTCCAGGATTGCAACTATGTAAACCTAGTAGACAAAATAATAACACAAAAATAGTTTACTAATATCACAATTGTGGTTCAAAAGGAGTACAGTTTCCAAACTACCGCCCTAATAGATTCAGGAACTGATCTAAATTGCATTAATGAAGGACTAGTACCAACTAAATACTTCAGCAAAACTACCCAGGTGCTTAATACTGCCGATGGCAGCAAAATGCTTATTAACTATAAACTGTCAGATACCGCAGTATGCAATAATAGTGCTTGTTTCAAGTTTCCCTTCATAATGATAAAAGGTTTAAGTCAACCTGTTATTCTGGGAACTCCCTTCTTAAACATGCTCTATCCAATTAAAATTGATGACATAGGGATAGAAGCTAGTATTGAAAGGCATAAGGTTAAATTCACCTTTATTGATAAACCTAAAGTTCATGAGATCAATAACATTAAAAATAAGATTTCTTCTAAAGAAAATTTTCTTTATTAATCCCTAGTCCAGGATCATCCCTGGCATCACCATCAACACCAAATACTCTAATAAGAAGGCAAATACAAGATATTGATGTATCTCCCCTTCAAACACCAATAAGCACTCAAACTCCTAGTGCTAAAACCTTATATTTAGAAACAGCATATATTCTTTTGCTGATTATAGAAAATGATAATCAGTTTAAAAATCCAACTGATATAGCTGCTTTATACCTCAGGCAACAGATACATCCTAATATGGGTGACAGGTGTAGAGAATGGTACGAAAGTATCCTTATGGAAACAGGATCAATTTTTATAGTTCACCACTATAGAAATAATGATATAGAAATAGCATATTCCAAATTCCAAATCAAAAAGGTTATTTCTTACAAAGAATGGGGTAAAACCAAGGATCATCAATACGAAAAGATTTAAAATTAAATCCTATCATTATTTTGAATACATAAAGGCTTGGGATGAAGTCTTCTCATACCATAATACAAAAAATTCACATAGCTGGTATATTCAGTTCAAAATAACTGAGCCAAATGAGTTCCCAAATTGGTTTAAAAATTGGTTCTCTATATGGGGATCAACTAACCAAATTCTACCAAAAGAGCTACAAATTTCACAGATAATATATATATATATATATATATATATATATATACAGAAGATGACCATAAGGATAAAGATCTTATTGAAATAGCTTCAATATATCTGAAGAATCATCTACATCCCAATAATGCAGAGAAGAATAGAGAGTGGTATGAAACCATTCTTATGGAAACAGGATCAATAACTCTGGTCCACTTTTATAAAAAGAAAACTAATACAATTGCATATTCTAAATTCCAAATACGAAAAACAATTTCATACAATGAGTGGGGTTCTAACCCCCTAAAACCCAGAAGAATACAAGCTGAAGGGTTTAATAATAAATATTACCAATACTTTGAATATATTAAAGCATGGCACGAGGTATTCACCTTTCAAAATGATATGAATTCTCATACATGGTTTATACAAATAAAACTACCAGTAATAGGAGAATTCCCAAACTGGTTCAAAAATTGGTTTCAGTTATGGGGATCCAGGACGAATATATTACCACCCAATATACAAGGTTCTCAAAGAAAATTTATGGAATACACTAATAATAATCCAAAGATAGATCTCCATATGTACTTTATGGCCTTATACCAGATCCCTTGGATTATGAAATGGTCATATCATCTGTCTGATAATTATACAAATACTTGGGAATACCTTCCTGAGTTAAGAAAACAAATATATATAAAATGGTGGGATGTTTATGAAAATGACTCTTTAAATCCCGATAAAATAAGAATGACAAGAGTACCATCTCCACCCCCCAACACAGAAATGAATATGACTGACTACTTAACTAAAATTCGTCAGCAATATCCAAAGGCAACCAAAAAAGAACTTAAGAAAAAGCTGCTACAAATATTTGATGAAGAAGAAGAAGCCATGTCAACATCAACTCATAATGAAGAAACTTATGACTAGAAAATGAAGCATGGATTATGGAATCTCGCAATAAGACAACAGAGAGGACGAATCGACTGCAGTCTACATAGCACACGTGTCCTCAGAATAAAACAAAATACCAACAAAATAGTAACCTACTATTCATACCTTTTGTCAGCTCAAAATACTATTGATACTTTTTGTTAGCGCAAGATACTATTGAAGACTGCTTTATGTCTTTTCCCCCGACAGCATCTGACACCGACACCTTTTTACACGTGAAGACTACTTTAGGTCTTTTCCTCCCGATAGCATCTGGCACCGACACCTTTTTCAACACATCAAGACCTGCTTTACAGACTTGAAATATTAGTTTGACGTCCGCCAAGTGCTATAAGAAGGGGTTTAGCTATTCAGTAAGGGGCATCGGAAAAAAGGGGAGAGTATTGAGCATTTAAATGTTTGTTTGAGTGTTTGTAACAAGCCTGATAGTGTTCAAAAGCTATATGTGTGATTGTCACTGGGATTCGCTACCCAGCTACTGTCCAGAAGAGTGGAAGCTCTTTTCCAGTTTTTGCAAGTGTTGTATGTAAGTTCTTTCCTTATGCAATTTAAAATTGTTATATGTATGAAAATTTGGTATGTTGTTTATATAAACTAGGTTATTGTTAATATATCTACTCCTTTATTTATCTGTTGTCTAATATTAATTATTTCCGCAATAATAAGGTTTTTGTGAAGTAACTCAGCTATTTCCTTTTTACAAATTTTTAAAAGTCGAGGATTCATTTGAATAGGCCTAGCTTTAGTAGGAATTTTCTTTTCATGAAAATCAGCCTCATAGGGTAGATCAACATGCTTTTATCTATTCCAGCAAGCACTTGGGAGTTCGGCACATCTCTTTTTCAATATTATTTCTAGGGCTGTTTATTGTCCTCTTATTTTCAGGAAGTAAAAGCTTGGTTTCTATGGTTTTATATTTTATTTCTTCTTTGAGGAAATATAAGAAATTTTCTCTTTTATATTATTAATTTCCCACAATTTTGGCTTTTCAATGAAATTAAATTTTACATCATGTCCTTCAATATTAGCTTCAATTCCCGTACTATCAATTTTTATTCGATAAAGTGTGTTTAAAAATGAGAGTTCCTACGATTACAGATTGACTTAATCCTTTAACCATAATAAAAGGGAATTCAAAGCAGTTTCCATTATTACAGACTACAGTATTGGAGAGTTTATAATTTATAATCATTTTACTGCCATCCGCTGTATTTAAAACTTGTGTTGTTTTGCTAAAATATTTAGTAGGGACAAGTCCTTCATTTATATAATTTAAATCTGCCCCTGAGTCTATTAGAGCGGTGGTTTGAAAACTGTATTCTTTTTGTACAACTATTTTTATTATGGTAAACCATTTTTGAGTAATTACTTTATCAAGAAGGCTAACATAATTACAACCCTGTATTGTATTCATATCAGAGGATTATGGCTCATTAATTACTTTTGAAAGAGTAGTTTCTACCTTGGGGGGCAAAAGATTTTTATAATTTTGTATAATATTATTGAATTCTATTTCATCATTAATAGGCTCATTTATAGGGTTATCAATTAAAGGATCAAGAAACCATTTCTATAATCTGGACCCTATTTTTTAGGCTTATTAGTTCGTTACGAACTTCATTTATTTCATGTCTTAATTCAGAAAGAGAAGGTTCTTTATTATGATCCTTTTTATTTTCTACTCTTCTAAGGATATCAGCGAAACTATAATCTTCCCTCGTACGTACGAGAGGAGTAGAGGTTTTATTTGTTTTGGTTATATTTATGTATTGGACTAAAGCCTCTCGCTTAATCTCAGAATTAGATATTTTATCAATTAAATCTATAATTAGATTCTCTTCTTTAGTAAGGGTAGAACAAAAGCATGAATTATCAGGTTTATTACTACTATGATTAGAGTCGAAACTGCTAAAAATTAATTCTTCATCTTTAATCTCTCATGTTAGTATATCCATCTCAGAATCAGAAGAATTTTCAGAAGACTCCTCATCAATTTGTAATATTTCAAGCAATTGTTCTTTAATATTATCATCTAGCTGTAGGGAATTTATCTTTTTCTTAATTCTACATTTATTTTTATAATGTCCTACCTTGCCATAGTTATAACAAACTGGAATTCTTCTTTTTTCCTTATTTCTAAAAGAAGTATTTTTTAGGGAAAATTTTTTAGAGAATTTATCTTTGGTAGAAGGTTTGTTAGGACTTGTATATTTTTTATTTTTATATCATTTCTTGTCAAGATCTCTGGAAGAAGATAGGGTATTGTACCCGAATTGTTCACAAAAATCTCCTAACTCTTTTCTCCCAGTCATCCTTTGTTTTTCTAACTATCCTTTTAGTTTCAGGTCTGTACAGAGAGCAGGACCTTCTGCACATATTTCGGCAGACAATTCTCCCAAAGTGTATAAAGAGTATGGGATAATTCCACTATGTTTATTCTTTAGCCGTGTCTTGACCTTTTCGGCAAAAAGATGAGGTAGTCCTGCAATAAACTTTTCTTTCCAATGGTCAGACTTACTATCCTCTCTAGAAAGGAGTCTAGAGAGAAACACATCTTTGTACCACTCATAGTTATAATGTTGGGCATCTTAAATTAGAAAGCAAATCCTAGGACCTAGCATCAAGCAAGGCTGTACTTCCCACAAAGTGGAGAGTAATAGTATATATGAGAGTATTAACAGCATCACTTTCATTATTTATAATGTCTTGACCAAGTTCATTTTTGATTGCCCATTGCTTAGTAGCACTTAATATTTCATTTTTTGTATTTTCTTCCATGTAGAAGTCCCACCATCCTCTTAACCACCAAGTAAATCCACAGATGATGGCTTTAGCTATTTCTTGGTCTTGGTTTCCACTTATTTTACAAGCAGTTGCATACATAGTCATATGCTTCATTAGGTCAAGAATTTGATTTTCTGACATTCCATCAATATTCCAATTTACTATAGATCTTCCAGAATAAGATACAGAACTTGTAATTAAATCCTCTTCAAACTGAAGATCTACAGAGGTAGGCCTTGGATAATACATTCTTGTTTGAGAAACAGGCCTAAGTTTTTTTCCATAATCTATTCTGTCTATTTCAAGACTTTCTGTTTTGAAAGCTTGCTCCATTTTTTCTACATCATTATTATTATAGACAGGTTCTTCTTGAAGAACCATTGCCCCTTGATCGAAGCTATTCTTATTCTTAGAAGTTGTCTCCTTCTCATTTATATTTAGGCTTGCCAATCTTCTAACTAGTTCATTCACTAGTTCCTTATTATTATCTTTCTTTTTTATACCTTGAAGATTAAACTGTTCTTTGCTAATACTTGGAGAGGGTTTGAATAGCAAAACTTGCTTTCCTTTTTAGCCTGTAGGGGTTTTATGATCCACTATCTTTTCTTGGGACTTATTAACTAGGTTTTCAATTCTAGTATTGTCTCCCAATCGTTTGTAAACAAAGATTGGTGTAATTATTTTGTTCGATTATATGTGGGATGGCATCTATTTTATGTGCATGGTGATCAGTTTCTTTTGGGGTAATCTTATAAGGTGAAGCCTTAGCTTCTGGTTTATCTTCAGACTTTCCTTTTATCTGAATGTTCGTTTCAGGGGGGTGAATGGATTCCAATTCTTCTCCTTTTGTAGTATGGAAAGTTTGATATGGACTTTCGACCATATTGAGACAGAATTCTGAGATTTTGATATTTTTCTCGGTTAAGATGCATCTCAACCATTCAAAGAATTTTACATTCCTTTTGTTTTTTACTATAAATTCATTAAATCTTATATGCAGAGCATCAAGTAATTCTTGAGGAAATTCTGTTAGATACCAATCTCGAATCTTTTTATTTTCATCAGACAAGAAGTCCTGTTTTATCCATTCTTTATCTATTTTAAATTTCTCTTCAACCTGGAGGGTAAGGATTTGATATGGATTTAGGATCTCAGAATATTGCCCGAGTCTATAGGATATGCTATAAAGTCATGAATACTTTACGTCCTAATGCATTGTAAATGGATACTAAGGGATAGACAGTATTCTTTCAAACAAACATAGAAAAATCTAATACTGTAATACCTAAGACGGTATCTTGGTCCCAAATTAGACTCCCTGAGAAATGGTCTATGCACTGTGAAAATCAACAATCTAAAACTCCTATAAATAGAGAACCAGAGCAAATAATAAAACACCCTGATGGAGAAATTGAAATACAATTTAACTCTTCAAGACGAACTAGGATCGATACTGCTGATGGTCCATCAAGAGTCCCTTCTAGATGCTCTACTTCCTCTGCTCCTCAGTCTGAGCATGAACGAACTAATAGAAGACCAGTAGTAGAAAGCCTAACTAGAACAAATAGTCAAGTCCAACAACCAGTTTATAGAATTTATGAACCCAGTTCCCCCGATAGAGAACCAACACTGTCAGACTTAGATTCTAACATATATATATATATATATATATATATATATATGATGTGTCTTTTAAGAATAAGTTGTGATGGGTGTTTTTATTGAAAAAGACATTACTTTTTGTTTAAAAAATTATTTTAATAAGTAACTTAATCATTAAGAAAGGACAAATTTGAAATTTGTGTACAATGGTATTTTTCAAGTTAGTGTCTTGGAACTTTATTTGTAGAGTACTTTTATCCTTTAATAAGAATTCAACTTTAACCCTTACAAAAATGACAAAAATACCCATTGTCTTTTAGTGATATTTACACAAGCATCCTTACTTGATGAAGGAGATATCACAACACATAATTTTTAAAAAAAAAAAGACCTCCTATTTAATAAATCTACACTTCACAACTCACTCTAACATTGACCTTTGTAATTTGAAAGGTTGTGAATTATAGATTATCCCATATATATATATATATATATATGGGAAAAGTTTATATAAGGTTGCAACCTTAAAATGTAGAATCACAGATGCACCTCAAACATCTATCGAAAAAGTTGTTTTAATGTTGAAAACCCCTCTAATCGATTATCTCGACATCGATATGTATGAATATGAAAAAAAAAAAGTTTTTTAGTCCCAAAACTAGTGCATCTTGCAACACATTATCTAGACCGTCTATTTTCAAAATTTTCATATATTTATAGATCTACTTGATTTTAACCATTTTTAGAATTTAAAATTTTATAATTAAATATGAAAATAGACTTTATGATAATTCTAAGAATTTTTTACAACAAAATTACATGTTATGATAAAATTTTGAGGTGCACCTTAATTGGATTGTTTGAGGTCCTCTCTCTCTCTAACCCCATTTACAGCAGGGCTTTGCAGCCCTCTCTCTCTCTAACCCCATTTACAGCAGGGCTTTGCAGCCTCTATTTCTCTCATCATGGAAGTTGGGGCCCTCTCTCTCTCGAACCCCATTCACAGTAACTTATGAGCGAGTTGCAGAGATCTTGGGCCAGAGCGGGCCCTCTCTCTCTCAAACCCCATTCACAATAACTTATGAGACAGTTGCAGAGATCTTTAGCCAGAGCGTTGTTTCATAAAAGCATCGTTTTACACAAAACTTCAATTTCTCTGAAGCAAGATTGCGGAAAGAACAATAATTACGCTTTCAAGTTCAACATTTCCATTGATACCCTTTCTCTTCCATGCAGAGAGAGAGAGACTTAGGAAGACAAGGTTTTCCAAATTGCAGGAACACCTGTATGTGAGAGAGAGATCTAAGTGGGAGGAATATTGGCCATGAGTTTTTTTTCACGTGTAATCCCTCATATAGCCTTTCTTAATTTGATAAAAAGGAAGAGATTAAAGTAATTGTGATAAAGAAAAGGGCAATCTATTGTCCAAAGTTTTGGAGTAGAGTATTCTAAAATTGCAATTAGTATGGTGAATTCTAGAAAATCCCTATATATATATATATTCAGGTTGCACCAAGCCTGCTGGCACCCCAGGAACAGGTCTTTGAAAATAAAAGAAGCAAGAAGGAATTTATTTTGCATTTTTTTTTCCTTTTGTCAGGGTACAATAGTCCACAATCATCTAGTCAAGCCCGACCTCAATAATGTTATTCCCTATATAAATGCACAAATTTCACATGATAGTTTGGCAATTTTCCAGAATTTCCAACTTATTAGTTTTGTTTGATGATGATATAACATTTAGATATGGAGTGGGATGCTTTTTCCAGAACATAGTGGATGCAGTAGTTGAAAATTGATGCTCAATAGCCAGAAAAAATTATAATATTAGCAGATAATCAATACAAGAACAGGTTATTCAAATAACAGCACAACAAATTGTGGAAGAAGAGTCACAGTTATGTGAAAAACATTCACTCAAGAGAGGAAAATAATGAATATACTGTGTCTATAATATGAAACCCTAATTTATACGAAGTACATAATCTGAATTGGTCCAAAACCATAAATGAAGTCCTTTTCATGACAAATAATACCTAATATCAATATAATATTAAGTTAGCAGGCTGTACAGAACCTAATTCAACACCATTTAGGGCCAAATTCCAATATTCCATATTCAAAAGAAACCCTAGATCCCCAATGTCGGCACCATTCCGACCAAAATTTTCAATGGACATTAAAGAGATATATCCCTTTACTGAAACCCCATTTCAATAAAAAGCCTCATATCCCCAATTTCTGAATTGACCTAAACACTGGATTTCAATAGGAACACAAGTTCCATAATTGTAAATTCATAAACCAATTTAAATAGGAAAACAAGTTCCTTAATCGTAAATTCAAAAATCGAGAACCTTAATCAGAATAAAAAACATGAAATCCTGGAATCCTAAACATAGAACCAAATCCCCAGGACGCAAACCCAACAAGATGCCAAATTCCAATTAGAGCATGAATTTCAAAACCATAAATCCACAACCATAATTAATTATCTTTAATAAGAAACTTGAATCCTCACTTCCATACGATCAGACCCAGCAGATTCCCAATCACAAATGAGAAATTTCAATTGAAAACCCTAGTTATCATACTAATGGAATCCATGTTTCCCCTAAACCCCAAATCCAATACAAATACCAAATCTTGAATCGGCAAAAAAAAACACAATCCATGATCTTCAAACGAACAATCTTAATTAACAAGCATCCAAACCTAACTACAATTAACATCATAAAACCTTATTCACTCATTCGAAACAATATAGATCCACATGATTTCTACTGCATCATGGACTCAAACAGAAAAATCACACAGTATAATTCCGTGATTTGTATCTTCAGAAACACCTTCTGAAAGACAATCAATAACATCAAGAAAAACAAATACAAGTAAAAATAATTAGAGATCCAAGATCAATAGAGATTCAAGATCAAATTCGCATACAAACTATGAAGCCAAATCTACAGAACAAAGATAATCGGAAAAGAAGACAACGCAAGTTTACCTGCACCAGAGAGAGAGCTTCCCGCCTCCTCAGCGGGTAGAGAGAGAAAGCAATAGATAAGAAAATGAGGGTACAAAGAGAGTTCGAGAAAGACCGCAAAAAGAGAGACATATAAATGGCGAAGGCCAAGAGATACACGCTACGCAGTTTTCCAAACCTAAACGCGCGAGATGGACGCGTGCCAAAATTCGCAGCGTGGGAGTCACCTAGAATCGGATCTGGAAGCTAAATTCCGATCCACAAATCATTATTGAATTTGGCTCCAAATTTAATTTGATCCAAAACATCTTAATCTGTTTTGAATCCGATTACATAAGATGAAGATCTAAAATTAAATCTAGATTAGTTCCAATTTTGGCCGCTCTTATTTTAAGTTAATTTCCATTTTAATGTTGTGTTTTTTGGCAGCTCTTGGTGTCGGTTAGTTGTGACGATTTTGTGCTATGGATGTTAATTGCTGGTTGTAGGGGTAGTGATGGGGTTACTCTCGCAATCAAATTAAAAATCAACATTATAGAATTCCTTCATTCTCAAATTAAAAATCAACATTAAGATAAATTTTAGGTTTTTTAGGGATTTGAAGAGTTTCAACAAAAGTTAAAAATCAGAAGAAAAAAAAAGTAAAAAGAATAAAAATTTATTAACAGAGAGATGAGAGATAATATATTTTGGTGGATTTTTTTTTTTTCTCCCAAAAACCCTAAAGAAACTAAAACTGTAAATAAAGTTAGAGAATTACCTATTGGAGTAACTAAACTTCAACGGCGAGTTATTGCAAAGCAATGGCGCACAACAATAGAGAACAATGGAGCGAGAGAGAGATGGGATTCAATAGAGAGAGATATGAGTTTCATTATAACGAGAGATGGATCTCGAGTCACAGAAAGAGATAGAGAGAACATGAGGTCATGGAGAAAAACCCTAATAACGATATCAGTAATGAGAGAGATAAGGGTTATGGGTTTTAAATGAAGGGTGATGATTAGTTTTAATTGAAAGTACGGTAATGATAAGCGCATAAGACTTTTAAAATTATATAAGTATAATATATATTATAAACATAAATTAACAAATATATGGATATATTATATTGAATTATTTTAATAATTTGGGTCGGTTCTAGATCGGATCCACCTCGACCTGGATATGATCCAAATTATTTTTCGGATCCAAATTTTAAATAAGGATCTGCACTTTTGATCCATACCGAGACTCGAATAAGATCCAAAATTCAAGTTTCGAATCCGGATCAAGTAAATTATCAGCCCTAAAACCTTTTTGATAACCAGAAGGTAAACATTACTAGGAAATAACGAAGATCACAAAGGTGTATGTATTTGATAACATGTTAGAATGTTAAAGAAGTTCTAGGTACGTGTGTTTGACAACCTGTTGGAATAATATATATATATATATAACACTGTAAATATCTATTTATATAAATAAAATATCTTATACAATAAAATATATTATATAAATATATTATATTACATATAATGCAAATATATATGAATAAAATAAATATAAATATGTATGGTAGTGATTTCATGCAACGGTTGTATAGTAATATAATACAACAATATTCAAAAACTATGTTAGGGCTATTTGTTTGATCCAAATTTTAAAATATTCTCTCTTTTTCATTCTAATGGACAATCACAAAAATAAAATAAAATTTGAAAACGCAATCTGAAAAGTATTTTTTTTAGCCCAGTTAACGTAGGCCGTCCGGTGAGATGCTTAGATCTAGGCCGTAGAAAGTTTTTTTTTTTTTTTCCAAATGTTTTAAATAACTTTATTATCATTATATTAACAATACTAGAAAAGAAAAAAAAACGATTTTGAATTCATAAAGGCTTAGATCTTGAAATTCATCAAATGGACGGTCTAGATTCATTATTGGAGGTGACTTTGACCATACATAGGTTGCAAATTAGGTTTTTTTTTAGATTAATTATTGAGGGAGGAAGAAGCCATCTTTAAGGGCCAAGATCCTATTTAAAATCCATCATTTTAGATGGAACTTTTTTTAGGCATAAGAGATTAAGGAAATCCTAGAGGGAACTTCTTTACTGTATATATTTTATGCACCAAATACGAAACTTATATAATAATTGGGAAGTTCCTTCTTCCTCCCCTAACTCCATGTTATCAAATATGCCCTAAATCAAATGAGAGCTAGAACAATCCCATGCAATTTAATAAGGAAACATGTACAATTTCTCAAATTAGATGGTACTTTCATCTTTTGGATTTCACATCCAATGGCTAAAAGTGATTGTGACCATCTTAAGCAAAAAAGAAATGGTCTCATAGTATACAATCCCATTAAAACCCAAAAGGTATAAAAAAATAAGAACTAAACTCAACTATCTTATATCATGAAATGAATGTAATTTGACAAGAGTATTCAAATAGCATCAAATTCAAATATTAAACTGCTCCAAGTATTCAAATTACGTCATATACTCAAATTACACTAGATGGGATAAAAAATTAAAAAATTGTTGGTGCTTGGGGATGCTTTTCCCTACCTATTGACCTCATTGGATTTGTGCGTTGGGACCCGCTCCAAGTGCACCAGGTCTCTTATTAGGCCTACTCCCCTAAGAACATGCAGCTCGTACCCTTCGAACTCATTTGGAGCTGCGACTCGGTGGTAATTACTAGCTCTTCTTCGAAGTAGTCTACAGATCTTGTAGATCTTTGTTGTTGTGTTTGTTTCAGCAGCCAATCTCCTTTAGCCAATAACACCTCTTGTCAGCCATCTATAACATATCGACACATAGAACTGAGATCTTAAGCCGCCATTGCATCGTTAAGAATTTCTATAATCCGTTCTGCTTTGTTCCATTGCATCAACACTAATAGAAAGAAACATAAATACTCAAGGTGTTGACATTGGTGTGTATATATATATATACAAAACTAAATAAATGCTTACCACAGCTTCGAGGAGCATATGCATCCATCCATGCATTCGTGAGGCTATGAATTCTAGGGATGGACATTGCACATACCATCCTTCGTACTCCATTGAAGGCAACCCACCATCTTCATCCGACTTGTCAAGCTGTAGGAAGTCGTATCAGTTGCTCCAAGCTCCTAGTGCTTGTTCCCAGTTTTCTTCAGTTCTACCCAACCTTTCACCTTTTTCCAATGTGTCGGGACCCTCAAGAATGTGACGCCTCATCCCAATGATCTTAGCACTCGGTCTGGAACGTACCATGTTGTCAAAAATCACATACATCAAAGAGCATATTGATATGCTTGCTCTATGATTTTCAACTTAAGAGTCAGTAGAACTATATATAATAAGTAAAGTCTCACCTTAAAACTCACATAAAATTGTAGTTCTAGAGTCGGAAAACCTTCAAATCTATCATCTAGGCCTTGATCATTGTAGTTGTGAAAAAAATAGGATTACAAGACCTAAAAATAGTGCATATAGTAATCTATTATTTAAACCGTCCATTGCCCTAAAAATATTCAAATTTCATAGTTGGTGTTGGAAATGGATTTTAGAGCCATCATGGAGATTTTGAATGTCCAAAACATTTTCTCAATGGGAAGACTTTACCTTCTTTACATAAAGCCTAAGCCCTATAGAAACTACATCATTTTTAAAGTCCTTTGTATGCTATTTCAATACTTTTTAATCTACTAACAAATAGTTTATCATTAGCTTATGAATTGATTTTTTAAGTTGCAAAATTGTTCCTCTACTCATTTCAACGAAAAAATTTTTTGGGGTGATGTATGTCTGAGAAAAATCATAAAAGAAAATTTATAATTTTTATTTTTTACTAAAAAACAAGCTAATTCTATAAGAATAAACATCTAAATAAGAAAATTAATGAATTTTTATGAAATAAAAATTTCTAAATTATGGAAATCACATCATAAATTTTTACTTCCCCTAAAAAAAATGATATTTCAATGAAGATAAACATCTCTAACATATCGATTATTGTATTATATCGATCTCTTCTTTCTCTTTGTATTATATATACTCATCTCTTCCAAATTTATATATTTTTTAATAAAAAACAAGCCAATTCTGTAAGGATAAACATCTAAAAACATAAAATAATAAATTTCAATTAAATAAAATTTTTTAAATTTTAAAAATCGGGTGATAATTCTTCTCCCCTCCCCAAAAAAATGCTAATTCAATGAAGATAAACATCTCTTACATATCCATTTTTCTATTATATCTATCTCTTTCTCTGTCTCTCTATTTATATTATATATATACTAATCTCTTTCAAA